ATTGTTTGATGCTGCAGGTTGCATGGCTGTGTGCTTCATTATACACCTGTATGCCAGCAGTGGGTGAGGCTTATGGGGCCCATTCCTAATTACTATGGCTGTCCCAATACTTTTGACAATATATTGTATCAACAAGGAAAACAGATCTACTGTCAAGGCAGATCTTGCTAAACTAGCAATAATGACATCCATCTCAGTAGGGGGGGGGCACACTTTTAATAACGAAGACCTGCCCCTCTAACTTTACCAGCTCAAGCAAAGGCTGGGACATGCTGCTGTACCACAGGAAAAGGTGTTTCAACAAGTATTCTGTTTATCCAGCAGTAGCTACAGAAAACTCTTCGGATAAAAGCAGAAGATCAGGAATATTTATCTAGCCGTTTAAATCCTGTGTCTGACAATCTGGTACTTAATCCATTCCATCTTGACAGACTGTAAATTCCTCATTTCCCCCAAAGCAGTGTGTTCAAATCAGGCCACCATAATTCCCTGAGGCTTGAATGCCAGGTACCTCCAATGCCCCCCGAGCAGAAAGACACTCTTTGCGTACTGAGAATCCTAATCAGAACTTCTAAGTAAGTGATTGAGGATCTGTATCCAGATCCAGCAGAGCAATACAGAACCAAAGATCAGACTCAAAGGCCTCAAAACGAGGACAGACATTTGCATACCAATAAGCTATTATAAGCCAGCAATGTATTTCTATATTAGAAAAGTGAATAAATTGATAAGTGAATCGGAATTAGAACTGAATTATAGAAACTCCTGTGCTGGTAAATCTGTATCAGGATTGGGGGTTTGGTTCTGATCCAGTTTGCACACGCTACTACGCCTGTCTTATTTGGGCTTGCAAATGGGCCCTGGCCTGCCCGTGTGATAAGGATCGCTCCTCAGATGAAGAGAGACAGGCCATTTCTGATTCAATGTAAACCCTAAGCGTGTCTGACAGGCTGTGCTCACGGCGTCGGCGCGGACATCAACGCACTGGGAGCATGAAGAGCGTCGGAGGGGAATATGCATCAGCGTCCTACAAGCGGGGCTGGCTTTTTGATAAGCACGCCGCTGTGGGGACCAGAGAGGCTGCTCTTGGATTTAAAGGAGGGGGGTGGCATAGAGGCACAGGGCTTAGAACTGAGGTCCATAACCTCCAGGGTTTGGGATCCACATCTGGGTCTGTGTATGCAAGGTTTTCATGTTCTCCCCAATGCAGTTGGATGAACTGCCGTGTGAGTCTGTGTGTGTGTGTGTGTGTGTGTGTGTATGTTTATGTGATTAAAAACCTGTTACTTTGACATTGTGGGGACCTTTTTTCAATTCCTACAAGGGGAAACTGAATTTTATGAAAATCTGTGACTGCAATCAAGAAATGAAAAATGTCAAAAGCCTTGTATTTTATTCGGTTATTTATGGTTAAGGTTATGGCTGGGTAGAGGTTAAGCTTGTCATTATTGGGATACGGGTTCTCCCCATACAAATGAATGGAAAGTCCCCACAAAGATATAATTACAAACCTGTGTGTGTGTGTGTGTGTGTGTGTGTGTGTGTGTGTGTGTGCGCGCGTGTTCCCTGTGTCCCCTGCCTTCTGGCCTCTGCTGCTTGTAATGACCTTGAGGCTCATCATGAACCTGTACTGGATAAATGGTTGGAAAATTTATGCTTTAAAGGGGAATTACAGCCCTGATTGTATCATATCCATTTTTTCCTACAGAGGGAGTATAGATACTATGTTCTTTTGCCCTGGCTATAAAGCACCCTACCCATACAGCACTTTAAAAAGGTTCTGCTAAGTTCTTAATTCAGCAGGAGTTTACAGTATAGTACATTCGACTCTTATCCACCAGGCCTCCATCCGATCCACTGTTACACCGATCATCCGTTACAACAGCCAATATTTAGTCACTAGGAGATACTAGTGATCTTTCACCGCGGACACTGATGGAGTTTAATTGGCAGCTTCCCTCAAGCTCCTCAGATTCAGGTCACTCTACCAGGACCTGAGCTACATGCAATTAACAACCTACAGTGTCAAAATAACGAGGAGAGCACAACATGGAGAACAGCTAATGCTCCAAAGTCTGTGCTAAGCTAAACCATAAAATAATGAATGTAAGGAGCCTCATAGAGAATTGCACATCCTACAAATCATGTTGTTACCTACATATAATATAGGGAAGTTATTTCATCAAACACATCTGTTTGACTTTACAAATATCCACCAGACACTCTCATCTAACGCACTCATGTTTCTAGCTGTAGCTTCTTAATGCATGGGTACTTCAGCAAGGTCTACTGATCAGGTAGGTCTGTTCAGTAACTTATGACAAAAAAGCCAAGTCCTCCAAGGACCCAGTTACGAGTTAAGCTGGGTCGTCTCAGAAGATTTGCTTGGAGGCCCCAAGGTGAAGTTATAAACCAATTGCAAAAGAGATAACAATCAAGGCAGACAGACGTGCTTCACACAGGAACAAGGCATGAGATCACTGCTACACCTAAGTATTCTACAAGATGGTTTCTTGTAGGTTAAATGGAGCAAAACTTCAAAGAACAAAGGAGCAAAGCCTTTCCAAGAGCTTCAACCAGCAACCCAAAAATAACAGGTCCTTTCTGAACCCTTGTGACACCTGCTTGGACAGAGATGACGGGCCCGCAAAAGGAAGGATTAACAGAGTCAACCAGCCATCCAACGTCACTCCCAGCACAAACCTATGTAATGCGTTGCATTTCCACCATCAATATGAAGCCGTTTAGTTCCTTATTACCACACAGAATGAGACTTTTGCCAAAACTGCAAAAAGGTCACTGTAAAATGATTGCAGGAGTCCTACATGGCACAGCAAACAGACTCAACTGCCTAATCCAGTCTTTGCTGGGTAGACTTGCTACTTAGGGCTCATCTGCCAATCTAATTCCAGAAAGCTTAGAGAGACATATCTACACTTCACCGTGTCTCAGCACAGAAAGCCAGTCTTACTTTCGTTCAAACTTGGGTTTAGGGATAAAAGTAAAACTGCGCATGGCAATGACTCTGTGCAACCCGGCGAAGGACCTGGGGAGATCGCCGTTAATGAAGAGCCCCAACATCCCAGTTGGTTCATATTCTGACGGGTTTTATCGTCCATGCTAACCTTGAAAGCTGCTTATGGTACCATATGGCATCCTACTTGCCGCAGATGGATGTGGGGGGGGGAAAGACCAGAGAATCGCACAAATCACTGACCTCCTTAACCACTGCATACTCCCCAGATGGCGAGAGGGGCATTATAGACAGCAAACCTGTGACCCTCCCGGACCAGCAGTGAGGATCGCCGCTCAAAACAAAAAAGAGAAGTCTTCCAGAATGTCCAACTGCGAGGGCACGGGGCTGGGGACACCCTGGACGGGAGGCCAGTCGATGGCGGGGGGTGACCGCATGCACACAAACATAATCTGCCATTCGGAGACACCAGTTCATCTCGTTGCATATTTTGGACTAACCCTAATCTGCACAAACATGTACTGTAAACTGCACACAAAGTGGTTTCTCAATATGCGTACTTGACCGTACTTGTATTCTCGTGTACCAGTTTTACATCATCTTCCATCGCTGAAGACTAGTTCCAATACTAAGAACAGAAGTACCTGGAAAAAACTCCAGGATGTCATTCTTGCCATACCCCAACTGTCAAGGATACGTCGGTTGTATCCTCGCCAAACTAGACCAATCCCATGATTCACTGCACCCCGAATTTGTTCTTGGGAGGCAAGATCAAAAGGCCACTCTTGCTAAAATCACTATCAAGTACGATCTTTGCTTTCTTGGTATTGAGAAAAACCTAGAGACAGGGGGTAGTTAAAAAGGCAGTCAAATAAACAGTCATGGAGGTCGCATTGCTACCCAAAACAACAATATGTATCATCTTATCTTATCGTATTGGGGCAAAATGACTGTAACTATAGCGAATTTGGAGTGACAGTATTCAAAAAACTGTGTTTTGGTGTTTTAAGGACTTCACGCCATTTCAAACGCTAGGGGGGGAAATATCTCCGAGCGATAATCTCAGAGAAGGGAGAAAGAACTGGAAAGTGACTGGAAAGTGACAGATCTGAGTCCCACTCCTGACATCAGCAGCACCAAGGCCACAGAGAACCCGACCATGTTCCCAGGCAGCATGTCACATGTCTCAGGCAGACACGTCCCCTGTCCTTCAGACCAACAGGATGTCACATCAGCAACAGCAAAGCCAGAGAGAGCCAGCTTGGACAGACTCGGCTTGTCTCAGTATCCTAAGTGGAACGTGTATTTCACTATGCCACCGCCCCCAACAACCACAAAGTCATTTCAACAAAGCTGATGTGTCACAATAATGGAGGACTACAACTCCCAGCATGCTCTAGGACATAATTTCAATGAAGAGGACTCAGATTTCACTTAATCACTGAGGTCTTGCTGTGTGCTGATTGGTCAGTCTCCTATAATCATTCATGTGCCACTAATGTTATTGTGAAAAAGGTGGATGAGTCTTTCAATCAAGGAAACAGCTCAAGAAGAACTGAACTATTCAGCTGAACACAGGACCCTTTCAGATGTAATGCTGTTTGTAAGAGATAAAGTAGCTCAAAGTGTCCTTGACATGGATTAGGTAGGAACCCTAGAGTCAACCTCAGCTGTAAAACTGTAATAGCTCTTAGCCAAGTTACTACAGTAAGTGAGTGTTTTCCTGCTTGGTCAGTACCATGGTCACATGCCGCAGTGTGGTTTAAAACAAGGTTGTTTACATTTTGGTCCACTGTCCAGCAACACCTGGAAGACCAAATAATGGCCCTTGATATGGAAACCATACATTCACTGCACATAAATTGTGAGTTCATATATATGACTTATATTGCAGTTTCTTTGCTTTTCTTCATGCTGATCTTGTTGAAAGATTGCTGGTGGTCTGGGCATGGGATTTTCAGGTTTTTACCATAAACCCAAGGTAAAAATCATGGGCATGTAGCCTCACTGACCTCGCAGGGCCGGCAGCAGGGAGCGGTCCTTGTGCTCGTCGCATTTGTTGCACTCGCTGAAGTAGAGCAGCAACAGCACATCCACCAGCACCCACGCCAGCGAGGTGGTCAGCACCACCTTGCAGTAGACCAGCCGACGCATGGCTTGGCAGCCTGTGTGTGGGGGTTGGGGGGGGGTCAGTGCTGACCCGCCCGGAGAAGAGAGCAGGCTCCAGAGGAGGCGTGTTGCGGAGATAACGTTGGCAGCTGCGGCAGGGCTGTGCAGCTTGTGGATCCCAGGAGCATCATAGCCCTGGAGTGGACGATGGGGAAAAAAGCAGGTATGGAGGGGAGCAAATCAGGTACAGATCAATAAAGCCAAAAAGAAGCAACAAGAGAAATCACTCAACACAGAGATTCAAGCATTTAGACTGAATAAAAATATGAATTTATATCTGCTTTAGGCCACATAGCAGCAGCCCTGGGTGACAGCTAGTGATGGCAGAGAAGAGGCTTTGAAAGGCACACGGTTGGTCAGATTACTGCGCGTGGTTAATCACTGTCTAGGACAACCGGACAAGAAGGAGGGTAAGTCAAACCTGCAGGTGACTGACATCGTGCGATAATCCCACCCAACGGCCGCTTGCTTTCCCTGGCCTCATTTCCCTCACTGCCGGAGACGGTAACGCACGGCCGTTTCTGTGAAGCGGCCTGTCACTTCTGACTGCCGGCGCCCACGGCGTTTTGCGTGGTGCCGTTCCCTGCCTTCGGGTTCAAGAAGATGCGTAAGCCATGCCAAGGCTGGTGAACTCCTGCAGAACCCGGCCCGATCCTCCTGGGGGGAGCGCATACGCGTTCCGCCCTACATGCCGCGCCGAATTAGCCAGACAAAGCCGAGGGAAGCCAGTGAGTCACTGCCTGCCGCAGACACACCTTGATGAAGACGAGACCCCAAAGGAGCTGGATGTGCCTCTGAAACGTCCATTAACATAAAACACACTGTCCCTCTACCACCAATTTAAAATGATGAACCTCTCAAGAAGCTTTATGGTTTCCAGTACAATATTTATTCCTGAGAGCTTTTATGAGACCAATTAGAAAAAGGAAAAAAGGGGTGACCAAGGTAATAAACAGCCCAATGAATTTATTGTCCTGCATATCTCAATTAGTAAAGATGCCTCTCTAATGTGACAGCCAGCGGAGCAGCCTCTGCTGATGAATAACACAAATCAGCAGTCTTAGGATGTTAAAAACTGTTGAAAGACGATGGGAACAGAAGTATAAAATGAGTGACACCTCTAGGCCGTCAGGTGAAGAACGCTGTGATGTGCTGGAAGCTACTGTTCCTGAAACCTGAAGCTGAAGCTTTAGGTTAAAGATTAAGGCAGTCCAGGTTTATAGTGCCCCTAACAGGAGATAAATTATACTAACGAGCTCAGCTACCAGAGGACTATAAAGTTTCTGTGGACACCTAGTGTCTGGTCTCCAAACAACCAAGAACCAGGAGATAAAGGGGACTTAAGAGGCACAGATGCTTGTCCCCCCCCCCCCCTCCTCCAGAACTGCTCCTCCTCAAATCTTAAATATGTCCGAAGCTCCTCGTGGAGGTTTAAGGCAACATCTTCTCTTTATCACTCTTCCCCAGTGTGCATCCTGCTTCTCACTCTGTTCTTCACTGCCAGTCACACTGGCTCTCTCTCTCTCTCTCTCTCTCTCTCTCTCTCTCTCAAAAAAATACAGGGTGGTAAAAATTAGGCCCAACAGCCCACACTGAGCACTTGAGGATTCCCTTGTGGACCAGTACGTACTGAGAGCCGTACAAACACATCTGCTCACCAACAACAAACGCATCTCAACGACACATTTACGAGACCTGGTGGTAATCAGCTCATACTCACAGCACCCCCCCCCCCCCCCCCCACTACCCCTCCTCCATGCAGTGAGATTCTCTGCCTGAAAGCCACCGAGAAGCACTGAGCTCTGTCTGCTTTGGTGAGCCTGTACAGAGTCCACCCTGACAGATATTCATGCCTCTGATATCTCCATCGAGAAGAGACCATCGCAGGAGCACGATGGAGAGGAGGCCATCGCAGGAGCATGATGGAGAAGATGGAGAGGAGACCATCGCAGGAGCACGATGGAGAGGAGGCCATCGCAGGAGCATGATGGAGAAGATGGAGAGGAGA